AAAAAAAAAAAAGTCAGCAAATGAAACGGCACCCTGCGCGGTTCGAACGGGCACCACAGGGCGTCCCTGCACTACTCTCGAAATGTGCAAAATGAGACTGAATCCACCGGTAGAACATGGAAAGATACATTGCCATCTTTTTTGTCTTTTGCGCATGTGGAGAGCAGTGCACTGAGGCCCGTAGGCCACACAGGTTCAGACGGGCGCCACAGGGCATCACTGCACTACTCTCCAAATGTGCACAATGAAAATGAGACTGAATCCACCACTAGAACACGGAAAGGTACATTGCCACAGGCCACAGAAACGCGAAACAAAAAAGCAAAAAACAGCGTCGTGCAAGAGACTTCCAGAAAAGGACAGGACGGTGCACTGAAGACCCGACAAACGCTGCACTGTGCACTTGTATTCGAACACATGACCCTGCGCCACACTTGAAAAGGCCACGGCGCGACTGCTGGTTTCTGCTGGGCCCTCGCCCTCGTGTCCCGAGCACTTTCCCAACACTGTAGTTGGAATTTACAAACAGTAAACACAAGACAAAAGAAGTCTGTGTAATCGACTATCGTGCAGCGCACTCAGTTCCAGCCCACACTCCTGGAATATGGGTCTGGCTTACTGGGACGCGGCGGGGCAAGGTTACCGAGCCCCAGCCAATCAACACATCGGGAGAAAGTTCACTGCCAGCCAATCGACACATCGAGAGAAAGTTCACTGCCAGCCAATCGACAAATCAAGAGAAAGTTCACTGCCAGCCAATCGGCACATCAAGCAAAAGTGCCACCAAACAAGGACAGCATTAAAAATTTAGATTTTAATACCCTTTTTTGTTATTGCTTGAGAAAGGTCTCCTTGAAAGAAAAAGGGGAGAGAAAATTTAAAGGACAAAGAAAAAGAAAGATGCATACCTACCACAGCACAAGAGATCCTCCATGCCCACAGCTCAGAATGACATCCGAGGATCCTGCCAGTGGCACTAGCCCTGTAATTGGAGGTACACGTGGGCACCTAGCTCCATCACCACTAAGAATGAAGCTTCCTTCACTTTCCCTGTACAACAATACAAGCACCAAAGTCAGGTCACCCACCGCACTATACAGTCTATACCCCATGCATAGGCCATACTTCCACCAGAAATTTCCTGCATGTATCTGGCTGCAAACACATCCATATGCGGTGTAAAATGTCATACTGTGAGGATCATCCTCTAAGCCGTTCCATACTGTGCATTTGCAAGTAATTAAAAAAAAAGGCTGAAAACCCAAAAAAAATAGTTGATTAAAATCATTAAATTTTAATTTCAGATAATATCGGGGTTGGGGAATACTGGAAACGACGAGAACCTTAACTCCAACCGGTTGTGGTCCTGTCACAGAAAATCAATAATGTCAACTGGCTGTGGCCCTACCAATTGAAATGCTATACCATTTAACCAACATCCAGTCCAAATTATCCAAGTTAAAAGACAGTCAATCGATCAATTAACCTATTAAACCACCAGTACCTCCGAGCCTGTTTTTGCCGACCCTGAATTTGACTGCGCTCCGAGTTTGCCGAGCCTGGGTCCCACTCCATTTCTTTATGGTACTCTCACGGGGAGGAAAAAAAAAGGAAAAAAAAAAAGAAAGTTGCGGCCGTGAAACTCACAAAAAAAGAAAATTAAACAATGCTCTGGCCATGATTGCAGTTGTATACATTCTTGGAAGTGGTAGTGTGAGTGTGCTGTCAGTGAGGGCATCTCAGCCCCGTGGCCAGGTTGTCAGATTCTGAAAACACACGAAAAAAGAAAAACAGAAACACGTATTCGGCCGTGAAAATGGCTGGATATGTTCCTCTAAGTGCCAGTGTGATGAGGGATACAATCCTCTGAGGGAACACAGCCCGAGCAGATCATGGATTCAGATTGTCAGATTCCAGAAACAAAAAAAAAAAAAAAAAAAAAGAAACGGAAACACGCATTCGGCCGTGAAAATGGCTGGATACATCAGCGTTACAATCCTCTGAGGAAACACAGCCAGCGCAGGTCACGGATTCCGCCCTGCCTCGTTGGCAGGGGACTCGTAATAAACAAATGAGAAATAAAAAAAGAAAACAACAAGTTTCAGAATGTGATCGTCTTTGCTGTTGGATGCATTCTGTAGAGGAAGACTGAGCACGGGCTCCTAGACTACCCTGCCCGACATCATTGCAGTGCATAAGCTTTTTTTTTTTTTGCTTTTTTTTTCACGTGCAGGCAAAAGAAAACTAAGATTTATGGGACTCGCCGACCCTGGGCCCCACCACCGATTTCTTCGGGGACAGACCAGTATATTGTAATTTCCCAACACTGGCAGAGGTACTGGTGGGTTAAGGTGAAAAAATCACCAACTACAAGTAACCAACCTGTGCACATTGACAACCAGGAACTGTTGGTTTGCAGGTTCATTAGTTGGCCGTCCGTTAACTAATTTACTACCTCGGTAACTTTTCAGCTTCTTCTTACCTCCTTCACTTTCTAACACAGCACATTGGTCACCTCTATGGTTATTTAAACTTACATTTAATTTTTTCAGTGTTTCTTAAGTCGCGGTCATCGATGTCATGTTAGTTGTTTGGAGTTGGAACTGGATTCGTTCGTGACTTTATGACTTGGCAGTTGGCCACTTCCATGGCTCTCTTCAGTCTCCCCAACTTGAGATAGATAAATCATTCTGTCTCTCCCCACTGCGTAGCATCGCATGATAACACCATCAAACAAACAGGACTGATGATGGACGATCCTTCGCATTCCTTCCTCAATTGCCCTTGTCGTGCGCTCCTGTAATGATTATTATCAGAGTAGTATTGAGGGAAAAGTAGCACATGTGGAAGCTTCTCTTTTGAGACACATAACAACTACATAGAGTATACACAAAGGAGTGTTAGCTTCCTGTGGCTCTGTCCCGGGCCCCCCTGCAAGCGTCTAGAGTGGCAGGGGATAGGGCTGTTACTTGACTCTCTCTTCGTACCATTGGACTCCACTCATTGTGAGGGACACTGGACGCGTTTTCCAGCAGGTGCAGCTCCCCACCAATAGATTGGAGCCTGTTTGTTTGGACAAAAAAAAACGAAAAAAAAGGAGCGTTAGCAGCAGTTCTTTTCTTTTCTTTTTTTGTTAGCTGCAGTTTCAGTACATGTTCACTTTCAACTTTCAAGCTTGAGCCGTATCAGTCCAGGTCCTAGTCTAAGCAGTGAGCACCGCACTCATGTCTCGGCTCCTACTGACCAACCTTATCAGTTGGCACAATGGGTGGTGACTCGTGAGTGAAGAATCTGGGGAGATAGCTGAGCTGTGTGTCAACATGCAACTCAGCAATATGCCTGCCGTTCAACAACTTGTTTTTCCCTCTTTAAAAGTTTTCTCCCTTTCCGAAAGGGGTTGTTCAAGAACTTGTTTTTCCCTCTTTTAAAGTTTTCTCCCTTTCCGAAAGGGGTTGTCAACAACTTGTCTTTCCCTCTTTTAATTTTTTCTCCCTTTTCGAAAGGGGGTATCGCCCAATGTTATCTTATCAATCTGATACCGTGGGGCTTCCAACTCTCATCAGTTCATCAACAGTTACATACATGTGTGTACCATTCAGCCTTAACTACAAGGCTGCATACCCGCTGACCGCCGACCCCAACCGCTGACCGTTTTGCAGCCGACCAGTAGGGCCGACCGGTCGGCGGTCTGCCGACCAGTGAGAAAACAGCCATCCAATGATATTTTTTCAAATGTGAGTTGGGGGCTTTACTGCGCTTGCTGAGTACAGCCCAAATCCGCTGAGAAACTTCATGGGGAGGGGGGGGGGGGTAATGAGGGTGTCGGGGGTGTGTATGGGGGTGTTGGTGGGGTTATTACGGGTTGTGGACCCTCCCTCCCTCCCCCCTCAAAAAAAGTGGGGTGCCGGTGACCCCCGACTGGTAGGTGCCGTCCAGCCGACCGGTCAGCAAGGGCCACCGACCGTCACGGTATGCAACTCTGCTTAACTATATTATTATATATATCACTGTGATTCAGTTGGGATAACAAACTCCGCTCTGTTTATCATTCAAAAACATGGGCTGGGTATGGTGTCCAACGACGAACTTACCGCCAATCCTTCTCCATATTCCAGACTTCTATGCGCCCTTCCTCGCCCGCGAGCACCAGCTTACATGGTGCAACAACCAGGACGCAAATTGGTGTTTTCAGCCTGCTACGAACCTTCAGCATCGCAAGACCTTTCCGGCCTTCTTCCCAGCAAACCACCTGCACGCAACAGCCCTTCCCACCCTCATCCCACCCTCCTCGTCCTCCTCCCGGGAGCTCCGATTCCTCTCTGCTCGTTTCTGCCACAACAAAACTAGCACAGCATGACACATAAGTTGGATTTCAAGACAGCAGCCATATCTGTCTGCATCTTTTCACACTTGTTCCCCTTCCCTTCGATTACTCGTCTGTGTCACCCTCTCTCCCAACAGCCATGCCAATCTTCTGAATTGCCATGATAATCCAAGTTTAAATATACTACTAAGGCCCTCGCCACACCACTGTCCAAACGAAAAAAGTACGACTGCATGTTCCCACAATTAATGGCCAGATGCATCCATTACTATAAATAGTAACAGATGCATCTGATCACTATACGGGGAAGATGCACTCGGACTTTTCTCGTTTTGACAGTGGTGTGGCGAGGCCCTCAGTTACTACTAACTTAACTACGTTGATAAGCCGGTGGGTAAGCCGGTGACACAAAATGCAACAACCCACGTTGATCATTTTTTTTTTATAAATATTTTACTTCAATACAAGCTTATTATTAAGTCGAAGTTGTTGATTACCGGAAATGCAGCAAACAGCAAGATCCCTTTCCTCCAGTGCCACAAAACTCAATCATCAAACCTACCTATCCTATCCTCATGGCCTTCCGTTCTTCAGCTGACCCATACTTACGCGATCACGAGGCATGTAAGCATCATCTTTCGTCGTCAAAAAAAGGGGGACGGGGGAAGCGTGACCTTCCCTTCAGTGACACATACAACACCATGAAACATGGTTCAGCTTTCGGAGTCACAGTTCAAACTTCAACGGTTCAAGATCAATCTTTGTGCAAAGCTTTGCGGCAATCAAGCCTAACAATTGTTTTTTAACAGCACACAACTTGTGCAAAGGCGACTAAATTGTTTTCTCCACAAAGCGGGGTAATCTCAGGCTGTATTTGGCCTGAAAATTGCCCTCCAAACAGCTGCTGTGAACATGAGCTGGCTCTATAGTCATCGGTTAAACACAAGCAGTGGCGTTTTGTGCATAGCGGACACATTGAGAGGCCAAGTGAGGACCACCCTACCGGAAGGCTGACAGCAAGGCACCTGTCCTCACATGGGCCCATACACAGACGGTCCCATTGCCACTTGGCCCCATACCCATGTGGCACCATCTCGACGTTTGATTGGAGAGCAGAGATCACAATCTGGGCCAAAGTTGGACGCTGCCCTCGAGTTGTCTCAAAGATTCGGCCAGCTGAGAAAAATCTACTGAAAGTTGTGATGCCGATAATAGCTCTGGTACTGTACCTCCACTCCAGCGTCAGAACAGAGTCCTCGGGCCTCGGCTCTGCAGTCAACCTGCAGAGTAGGCTTGAGACAGGTTTGATGGATTTATAGTCCGAATTGCTTGCCAATAGCAAGAAATTCTATAGTGTATAGTAGGGGTAGATCCACAGTTGCAGATAGAATGGAATAGAGAAGGGAAGACTCTAGGCTTGAATCTGACTCCTCCTGTAGGCCTCTGGCTGATTTTTCAGATTCTTTAGGTCATCTCCTCCGTCATTGAGTCATTGAGAAGATTGGACATTTGCCTAATATGATAATCTCATCTACATCTACATAATACTTAAATTGTAGTGTGAGCCTCGCCAGACGCTTCCCAAAGGGCCGAGCAAAAACATTTTCCCAAAGACCCGGTGATACCCCGTTGTCTTCAGGCGGTGTTTTGAGTTGTTCTGTTTTGTGAGGTGAGCAGCAGGTGAGAGTTTCAAGTACAGGCGGGGCGCGTTTGGCGTTTTTCGAGTATCTCGCCGATGACGGAATACAAGTACATAGCAGGTCGATCTGGAGGGAAAAAAGGCATGCAACGAGGTCGGATCTGGATAAAGGAAGGACGGTGATCTTAGGGCACACTCACACGAGCACTTGGAATCACGTGCAGAGCAGGATGCACCTGACCACAATTATCGCATGTCTCTGTTGTTTTGGCATTTTGCCTTGATTCTGCATTACGTGCAGAACTGGATACATCTGACCACAATCACGGGCAGGAGAGATTCCCTCCCCCCCCCCCCCCCCCCCCCCCCCCCCCAGCTCCTCCTTGTAGCTTTGTTTTCTTTTTCCTTAGTTGGATTCTGTCCAGTGTGCCGTCCTTCCCTTGATGCTCGAATGTAAGTACATACAGAGATTTGGATGGAAGACATGTGACTGTTAGCAACCAGGGCACGAGTTCGAATCCGGGTGGAGCCCACCCCGAAAGGTAATAAATTGATCTTAGTGTTATCTTTTACTTCACTTTCTAGGATTCGAGCTGAGGTTTATCTATCAATGATGTACGTAGTACGTACCAAATACAAAAATTTTAGAAATCAGCCACATGGTTACTACCCCCAGCCCATGTAGCACGGTCATCTACGCCATACTATAACAGCTAAGCCCACATAGTGCCACACTGTTCACATACTATGACCCACCCAATTCCACATGATACCACCCAACCCACGCCGTACCACCTACCGTCTTCACACGAGTAGAACCCCCGGTATTTATTGCCGTATCTGGTCTGAAAGTTGCACCAAATACAGCTATAATGACCGGGCGTTCTATTCGGGTGAAGACGGTAGTACCAACCAGCCTCTCGCTATGGGTGTGGGGCATGGTGATATTCTCCTCCATGCATGATTCACCATGCCCACCTCTCTGTGTGTGATAATGGATGTGTGTATCCGCCCTGAGTCCTGATGATGTCAGATCTGTGTTTTGCTGTCATCCGCTGCATGGCATTGTTGTCTCTTGATCTGCGTTTTCTTGGTTCTGTGCTATGCATATTTGCTATTTATAGGCATGCAACATCCAGGCCCACTGAAAGTCGGTACAGGGAAGTAGTGACTCCAACGGTGAAACGTGCCCACGGCAAATCGGTGGCCAGTGCCCATGCAGAGACAAACAGACTATTTTTTACCACAACCATTAGCCGCGGCAACACGGCTGATGACTTGGAATAGTTCAAGGAAAATGTAGTCCCTGTAGGACGGGGTCCGCTGGGCGCAAGGGAAATCTTCCCCGAGGCCTTGGTTCACAAGGACCGGTGCACGGACGAAAAACAAATCAGGGCCACATGGCTCAGTCAGCCAAAAAATAAAAAAAGGGTCGAGCCATGCGGCCAAAAACAAAAAACAAGCCAAGTAGTTGTTTTGGTTTTGTGTTCGTCAACTCAGGCAGTTATTTTGTTTCCGTCTTGGTCGAGCCGCAGGGCTGTTTTGTTTCCAAGTTGGTTGAGCAGCGCCGGGCTGAGAGAGAGAGGGCCAGACAAAGATAAAGTGAGACACCGACAATGACAGAGAGCGACAGACACAGACACAGACACAGACACAGACACAGACACAGACACAGACACAGACACAGACACAGACAGACCAGGACAGAGACAGACAGGATGAGGAGCGCAGACAAGCGTCCAAGCCTCATTCGCTTTGATCAGTGAATCGCAGCCGTTGATCTCAATGTGCTCGACAGACAAAAAAGAGGAACCTGGGTAAGTGGGAACTTGTTCACCTACTAAGGCGATGGAAGATAGGAGCGATGCACACGAGAGATGTAGGGAGAAAGAGGAAACAGAGAGAAGGCAAGAAAAGAAAAACATGATAACCCCGAACCAAGAACCCATACTTTCAAAAAAAACAAAAAAAAAGGAGGCCAGGGCTCAGGCCCGGAAACAGCTGTGCAAGCGTATTAGGCACAAACCCCCTTCGTTTTGATGTTAGCTTGACCATCCGGATGTCTATGTATGTACTTAGCCGCTTAGAGCATGCATGCACACCTCCAAGAAGCTTGTTCCTATTCTAGTTTTGCAGTGAGTTAGCTCGAAGCCTCGAAGCCTACCTGCCCCTGGTAGGTAGGTCACCAACAGTCTGCTGTTCCCGGGGCCTTTGACGTAAGAGCTTGTCCGTATTCTAGGTTTGCAGCGAGTTAACTGCCCCTGGTCGATAGGTCCCCAACAGCCTGCTGCTCTCGGTGCCTGTGACGCAAGAAGACCAACGGCATTCATATCATATTCTATTATCCTTCCACTACCCTCTTGCCAACCAACAGGAAGGCCCTCAACTTTCTGGATCTTCAGCCCACTGCTCCTTATCCCAAACACATTGCTCTATGTGCATGGATATCTCAAAGATATCTCAATAGAAGTAACTTACCAGTCTTCCTCAAACACAGAGAAGCAGCTGCTGAAAGCCACACCATTCCCAGCTGGTATAAAAGACAATCCATCATATCTGCCAAGCCTCACGCACTGGAACCAGCACAAGTGCACCCAATATCGTTTCATAAACCGTTAGATTGCACACACTTGTAATCGTAATCCACGCATAAACAAAAAGCGGTTATGCTGCTCATGCAGTGGTTGCAGTAATGAACAACTTCCAGACATCTTGTGATCAGGGGGCAAACTCCGAACATTTGTGGAAAGCCATTTTCCGTCCATGAGCATTGGTGCATGCAGCTGTCAACAGCTGACCCATCATTCCGACACAAACACAAATCAGAACATGGGTCCACAACATACCTGCAGAGCACAGCACACATGCGGCACATGCAGTGCACCGCACATGCATGAGCACACTCAAAAAATAGGGGTCCCCAGAACATTTTGGGCAGGTCGGCGGTGTCATGACTTTCTGCCCCTCTCCTAAAGAAAATATGCCAGCAGGGACTCAGAAAATGTTTTGAGTGCAAACGAGGCCCGTTGTTGCTGTCCTTGTACAACCCGCTCTGTGTGTGTGTGTGAGAGAGAGAGAGAGGAGCACCACCATGACTATGCGGATAGGGCCATTATTGCTGTTATGAGGTTGACGGCGTCTGTTAGTTAAGAAAAAGAGAAGTTCAGGAAAATTAGTCGAGAGAGAGAGAGAGAGAGAGAGAGAGAGAGAGAGAGAGAGAGAGAGAGAGAGAGAGAGAGAGAGAGAG